AGACAGATAGACAGACAGACAGATAGACAGACAGACAGATAGACAGACAGACAGATAGACAGACAGACAGATAGACAGACAGACAGATAGACAGACAGACAGATAGACAGACAGACAGATAGACAGACAGATAGACAGACAGACAGACATCAGAGGGTTCGGTTGGGGCCATCCAAATTGACTCAAACACAGTTTTCGATGTCAGCTGGAAGCCATGTCAGCTTCGATGCAACGCACGGCCGAGGTTAAAAGAAGACGACAGGGTCTCCTGAGGCAAGAGGAAGACAACCCAGGCCTCGGCAATGCTGGCAGACCATGGCGCCTAGTGTGCCATGACAAGAGGCGTTGTTTTTTATCGATGGCTTTCGGGAATGGTCGGAGCATGGTCGGCGCATTGTGATTTGGACAGAGGTTGCCACAACACAAGGATTCCTGCTACATCACCTTCTCCCAGTCTTGGGGCGATTCTCAGTAAATGGCAGTGGTTTTGTTCCCACTGTTTCCAAAACAGACTGATAGCACAAGTTCTCAAAGGTGGCGTTGTCCTCGCTTGTGACGGGCAACTTGCATGTGATGCATCATGATGCATCATATGGTTTCCCCTCCAAAACTTGTCACCATTCCTGCAACTGAACCCCTCTGTATTTGATGGAGGCCCCATGACTTCCTCTAGAGTTACCTTTCCAAACAAGAAGCTGCAGGCCCAGTGGCAGCCAAAGGCTGTGTGGCCACTGTTTGGCTGATGATGCTTTGGCTGGCAGCCGGAAAGTTCGATGGCATCTCCGTCGCATTGGCCTTTTTTTCCCCGAATGCATAGCAAGGATTCCCTTTTCACTCTGGGGGTCTGGGGGTTGAGGGTGTGTTCGCTCTTGCGTTTGCGTCCGCAGCCGTCCGCGTGAGGGCCGCATGGCCGTGCCCATGGCGAGTTCTGCCAAAGTGGTCACTTTTGGCTACTTTTGGAGGTTTCAAACGTCGCGTAGCCTCGTTTCCCGTGGCAGGCGTGGCACTTTGTGACATTCCAACATGTTTCATAGTGTGTCCAAATTCGTTTTGTGTGGCAGGCGCAATACTTTTGCGTCGTTTTCAGAAGATGGGTTGCATTTTTGGATATTTTTCGTGGCAGGCGCAGCATTTCACACGTATCGTGTTGCGTGTTTTTGCGAATCACATTGTCGGGGCTGCGTCACGTGGTGACAGCGTGCAAATTCCGTGGCTGGCGTGGCATTTTGTGACATGTGCTGAAAATTGATGAAGCCCCGCACGAAACTTCGATTTTGAGGAGTTCATGACAAAACTCGTCAGAAAGCGTCGATTTTGTAGCTACAAAGTGTGAAAATTTGAAGGAAGTCTCGCACGAAACGCTCGTTTTGAGATTCCAATATGTCTTGTTTCGATTCTCTGGTTTTCTTGTAGCGTCGCTGTATCTACAGGTTCAATGTCGTTTTGCGTGGCAGGCGTGGCAGGTCGTGACATTCTCACGTGTCTGCAAATGGTGTCGAAAGTCGTTTTGTGTGACAGACGCAATCCTGCTGCAAGGTTTTCAGAATATGGCTTTCCTTTTTCATGGCATGTGCAGCACTTTGGACGTGTCCATGTTCATTTTGCGTGGCAGGCGCAGCAGTTTAGACGTGTCGTGTTGCGTGTTTTTTTTGCTAATTGCATTGTCAGGGCTGCGTCAAGTGGTGACAACGTGCAAATCGCGTGGCAAGCGTGGTGCATCGCGAGAATGTCATTTTGCATGGCAGGTGCAGTATTTTGTGCAGATCCATTGTGTGTGGATGTAAATTTTGCGTGCCACGCCCAATCTTTCGGACACTCTACACTTTACACTTTACACTCCATACTCTACACAACCCGCCTCACACTTTAGACTTAACACTCTACGTTCTACACTTCCCACTCTGCACTCCACACTGTACACTTTACACTCCACGCTTTACACTCCACACTCTACACTTTACACTCCACGCTATACACTCCACACTGCACACTTTACACTCCACAATTCACGCTCTACACTTTACACTCCACACTGTACACTATACACTCCACACTGCGCACTTTACACTCGACACTTGACACTTGACACTCTACACTTTACACTCTACACTCTACACTCCGCACTTTACACTTTACACGCCACACTCCACACATTACACTCTACACTCCACACTCTACACTCCCCACTCTACATTTTACATTTTACACATTACACTCCGCACTTTACACTTTACACTCCACACTTTATACTCTTACACTTTGCACTCAACACTGTTACACTCATCGCTTTACACTCCACACTCTAAACTCCACACTCTACACTTTACACTCCACGCTCCACACTTGACACTTTACACTCCACACTTTACACTTTACACTCTACACTTTACACTTTACACTCCACACTACACTCTACACTTTACACCCTACACTCCACACACTACACTCCCCATTCTACATTTTACACTTTACACTTCCCACTTTACACTTTACACTCCACACTTTACACTCTACACTTTGCACTCCATACTATACACTCCACACTTTAGACTTTTGACACTCCACGCTCTACACTTTACAGTCCATACTCAACACTCTACACTCCACACTTTACGCTCCACACTTTACACACTACATTTTACACTCTACTCTCGGCACTCCACACTCTACACTCAACACTCCACACTTCACACTCTACACTTTACACTCCACACTCCACACTTGGCACTTTACACTTCACACTCCACACTTTGCACTTCACACTCTACACTTTACACTCCACACTCTACACGCCACACTTTACACTTTACACTCCGCACTTTACGCTTTACACTCTACACTTCACACTCCATACTCTACACTCTACACTCCACACTTTACACTCTGCGCTCCACACTTGACACTTTACACTCCATACTTTACACTTCACACACCACACTTTACACTTTGCACTCAACACTCCACACTTTACACTTTACACTCCACACTTTACTTCACACTCCGCACTTTACACTCTACACTCCACACTTTACACTTTACACTCCGCACTTTACACTTTCCACGCTACACTTTACACTCCATACTCTACACCCTACACTCCATACTTTTCACTCGGCACTTTACACTCAACACTTTACACTCTACTTTCCACACTCCACTCTCCCCACTTTACACTGCACACTCTGCACTCCTACACTCCACACTCCGCTTTCTACACTTTACACTCCACACTTGACACTTTACACTCCACACTTCACACTTCACACTCTACACTGTACACTTTACTCTCCACACTCGACACTTCACGCTCTGCGCTTTACACTCCACACTTTGCACTTTACAGTCCGCGCTTTACATTTTACACTTCACTCCCACTCCACACTCTACATTTTACACACTATACTCCACACTTTACACTTTACACTCTACACTTTACACTTTACACTTCACATTCTACACTTTACACCCTACACTCCACACACTACACCCCATTCTACATTTTACACTTTACACTTCGCACTTTACACTTTTCACTCCACACTTTACACTTTACACTCCACACTTTACACTTTACACTTCACACTCTACACTTTACACCCTGTATACACTCCACACACTACACTCCCCATTATACATTTTACACTTTACACTTCGCACTTTACACTTTTCACTCCACACTTTACACTTTACACTTCACACTCTACACTTTACACCGTATATACACTCCACACTCTACACTCCACATTCTACACTTTACACTCCACACACCACACTCTACACTTTACACTCCGCACTTCACACTTTACACTTTACACTCCACACTCATCACTATACACTTTACACTCCACACTCCACACTCTACACTCCACTCTTCACACTTTGCACTCTACGCTTTACACTCCACACCCTCTACACTTCACAGTCCACACTCTACACTTTACACCCCACGCTTTACAATCTCCACTTCACACTCTACACACTACATTCCCCACTTCACACTGCACTTTCTTCACGCTCCGCACTTTGCACTCCACCTCCGTCCACATTACACCGTTTACAGTGCACTGGTACGGTAACAGGGGAAAAATGCACAAGACTGTTCAATTAGTTTGTTTCGCAAAACTGTTTTACGTTACTGCATTCGGGTTCGTGGGCTGCATCTTGTTTTGTGTGCCTATAATATTGACCGAATGATGGTCATTGTCTATCAAATCTAATCTGCCCCAGCCCAAGCTGTACCGGAGTCCCAAACGACTGAGGAGGTGCCTATTCGGCCGCATGGGTCTTCTCGCCCATCTTCTTCTTCGTATCTCTGGAGCCTTGGCCAAGAATTCTGGATGGTAGATATGGTACTGGTACCCCTTGCAAGAATTGTTTGAAATCCTTAAACTCTACAGGCTGGGAAGGAACTTATATTCACAGCATTATTTAAAGTAGTGTCTCTCAACCTACCCACCAGATAAAAGCTATTGGTTGACTATGTTCATCCATAGAAGATGCAAAACCGTCCGATGAGGGCACATGATGCACGATGTTCAAAGTTCGGCAAGATTAAAACCATCAACACCGGTCTGCTTGGTTGATTTAGTCATAGAAACCCATATCCCTGGGGTCCCAAATTCATTTGGTTGGATCCGATGTTTCAGGTGTGTGTGTGTGTATCCTGTTAAAACAAACAGGCAGTATCAGGTCAACTGTTAATGCGTGAAACGCAGGGGGACAGAGCTCTCTGATGCTACTCTGTCCAACGAAGCTACGCATCAGAGAGGGAAGCATCCACTGGCCATGGATGTGTACCTGCAAACATGTTCTAACAATGCTTTTCTGTGTCAATGAATCCTGTGATCATTCTTTCACATTGCTGTTGGTTTCGATTATGCGCTATGATTTGTTTGTCATGTATGGCAACTGGGCTAAGCCACAAACCCAGCGTGCGGAATCATGCTCATTAAGGACGCTATAACTCAGGAATCCTTCAGGCGAGCACAAGGTCTATTAACAGTACCTCCACAAAACCCCCAATCTCCAGATATCTCCAGTGTGTGTGTGTGTCTCAAAATGGGGACACTTCAAAATTATCCAAACTGTATATGGAATCCGGTCAAAAATTGTTAATAAGGAAAAGTAAATCAGGTTGCGAAATTAATTCTAGACGGTAGGCTTTTAGTCTTCATTATGTAGCGGGACCCCAACTAAACACGGCATTTCTGCAGCTTGGCGCTAGGTTCGCGTTAGCAGTGCGCTAGCATTTTTGGGTTTTAACATTCCCACGAAGTAGTTCACTTGTACATTCGGCTTGGCATTGGAAGGAAGTTTCTTCGTATTAGATCGTATTAGTATTGTCTGGAATTGGCATGGTATTGAGATGATGTGACAGTTTGTTGTTTGCCACCAGTATCCGGAATGCTTTGCAATGGTATGGACGTTTTGAGTTTGGCAAAGTTCAGTCACTGCATTTTTTGTGAGAACCCCAGTACTTATCACAAATATTTCCAAAAGTAGTGCAGTCATCCGTGCTAGCCTGGCGCTAGCGCCGCGCTAGATCCGCGCTAGCGAACATGTGGCAATACCAGCCCTGGCCCAGAAGTCAAACATTTGTTGTGGTACTTCTTTAGGCCCGAAACATGAGCAGGGTTGACGTCAAATGGAAGTACCAAAGATTTGGGGAAGTACCAAAGAGGATGGCTCGAATAGGTTAGGGAGGTACCAAAGAGATCCAAAGAGCTTTACAAGTAAAGCGTGCCAGGGGTACTCACCAAAGGCGATATCTGCAGGACATGGCACAAGAATCAGACAGTAGCACGCCATCCTCCTCATCCGAGAGTGGTTGAAAGTGCAGCGCGCTAGCGACATTCGCAACGAAATGCAACAATGATTCTCCCTCCCTTGAATCCCTGTGATTTAGAAGACATAGCAAGATACATGACGCAGCAGTAAAGTTATGTAGCGGGCCCCCAGCTATGTACGACTTTTATGACTTTTTCACACTTCTGGGGAAAAACATTTTGACCAGCCACCATATTGAATAAGGAACCTGGCGATAAACCACTGGATTTTGGGGTACACATTTGTTACATGCCCCTCCCATCCTTATCCCATGAGTTGCCCAGCAAGGCTGTGTGCATTGTCGGTATGGTCATTATCCTGGCTCGGCCTCAACACTTTCAGCGTGCAGCTGAAAGCATGGGCGAACCCATTGGCAAACCCGCAGAAACCGAATGAAGTCCTCTAGCGGCTTCGGAATGCCTGATGATGGAGTCAGCGCTTGTATCCAGAAAAGTTTCTGAAAATCTTTGGGGAACAGGTCTGTGTCCTGTGGGTGTGTTGCGGGTGTTTTTTGCAAACAGAGTGCTGGCCATCGTGGCAAGACGCAAGGGCCCGCCTCGTCCCTTGCATTCGCCCCCACTGGTTGTCTCGGGGCAAGCAACATGTAGCCGTAGTTATAACAGCAGCTCCCAGTTCAGATGAGTTCCATATGTTCGTTCCCTATGTTCAGCCTCAGCAAAGACTGCTTGGCCAAAGCATTGAGTGTAGTTCCATTTGTTGACCTTGGTTTTTGACGCCGTACAATAAATCTCATCACCATCAGCCTCAGCATAATCAGCACCAGTCACCACCATCATCAGGATCATTACCATGATAACCATTCAACGAAAGCTTGGCAAATGCTCGGCATCGCAACATCTGAAGTTGGAACTGCTGAACCCTCATTTTTTTGGTGCCCAGAGACTTCGGAGCTCCTGCGTCCTTTTGGGGCCCAGGAGCCTCAAGGTTTCTGGCGCCTGAACTGGTGGCTTGAAGTGGGTGCCTTTTGGGCATGACGGGCACAGAACATCTGGGGCACCAGTGGGAACCTGAATTGAGTGCGCATGTTTGGTGCTGAATCAATCTGAATCATCCAATTTCAGGGGCCAAACAGGTTCAGCTTATATTATAGCCGAAGAGTGTCCAACTGGCCGAAAGATGGACAGTTCTCCACTTGAAGAACACCACACAACTTGCGACTACTGCGGGAATCTGCAGGAAAGGTGGCTGGTGCGGGTTGTTCGCGGACTCACCTGGTTCATTTGGTGTGTCGATTGCAGGCCAGAAAGTGGATCAGCTTACTTGAAGGACCTTAATATACCCAAATGATCCTTAATGCAAATGTTCTTCATGAAAATTCAGATGTGGAAAAGTTGAAAGTTTCTCGTTTGCGGCATGATTTTTGGTCATGAATTCAAGGGAGGTCTTGCAGAGCCACCTGCCGCCAATGCAGGTTGCCACCATGACCAGGTTGAAGGTAGAAAGGACATCGGAGGGGTGAAAATACCTAGTGTATGAGAATCTACAAGAACCAGGCCATGTTTTCGATGTTGTTGGGCAGCAGGTGAGACTCTAGTATTTCGATCGCTGGCCCCATGCTTTCCAGGAGGAAGGACCCGATCCTGCTGGCAGCAGTCAAAACTGGACGAAGGCCGATTTCGGTGCTGAGGCCATCAACTTCAGGTGATCCATTTACTATCATTTACATAGATTTACATTAAACATGACATCCATGTACCATCATTTACCATGTGTTTGGATTGTCTTTGTGTTCAGAAGGGTACCTTGGTTTTGGTTTTGATCGTTTTGATACATTCCCATGTCATGCAGCTGCGAAATGTTGTGTCAGGTCGGTGAGAAACCGAGCAGAGCTTCTGGAATGGTTAGCCGCAGCTGCTCAGAGCCGGAGGTGTCACCCCAAGCCCGATCTCCTTGGCGATTTGGAATCCAAAAGTGACTGAAAGCATATATATATATATGCAGATAGTCAGATCGAACTGTTTGAAAGTCTTTGGTTTGACTTTTGCTGAAATCACTCTGGATGACCCATATGGCCAATAAATAGCTCCCACCAGAAGGGACAAAGCAGAAATACGGGAAACCAACAAAAGACATGTGAAAGGATATGGTATGATGGTAAATGACGATTCACAAATTGTACGCCAAATCCCGTCAGATTCTGGAGTTTCCAGCTTTTGGCACTGGCCAGGCTGAGTTTTGAGAAGCTGGACTTTGACATGCCTCTAAAGGAGCAGGCGGTACCTCTAAACAGGGTCTCGCCTTTCAAGGGTATTCTTGCTGTTCACAGGATACAAAACGCAAAATGTTGATGCTGAGGAGTCTCCAAACTCCGTCAGCCCACTCAGTAGGCATGTCTCAAAGACACGTGATCTCACTGTCAGAGGTGCAAATGAAACCGCCAATTTTGGTGAGCTCATGAAATGTCACACAATCATTTTTGATGACTAAACATTACTAAGCGCTACTAAACATTCCTAAACCATACTAAACACATCTAAAAACACTCTATGCCCTCTGTCTCAATCCAGGCACGCTTGCTGGCAGCCAGTCAGCTCTTGGTGGCTTCCATGGGAGCCACTCTCATGGTATGGCGCCTCAGCTAGGAAGGCTGAAGGTGATGAAAGGTTGAATGATTTGTGCTTGTAGTAAGCCATGGCTCCCCAACGGACGTTCTAAAAAGGCTCGAATTGCATCACTGCATCATTGTTTTGCAGTAGGATTTGACAACTTTCTATCTTTTCGGGCGGGTGCGATATGTATGTTGAATGGGCGCAGTGCGGATCAAAATTCTGCACCCACACAAAGCGTTTTGATGGGCAGCACCACCATGAACTTGGTGAAAGGATTTTCGACAGAGTGGCACATTCCCATTTGGCATCTGGGAAAAACAACTGCCGAGTCACCAAGGCTGGTTTGCTCCTTTCAGCGGATGCTGCACTTTTGGCCCTACCCGCATGTCACAAGGCCGCAAGGGGTTACCCCCTAAAAAGCTCAAGGAATCTCAAGGTGGGCACTTCAAAAATTGGGCATTTCAAGATGATTTTGTTTATTGGATATTGCCTTTTCCCAGGCTTTCATGATCTTTAATCCTGCAATGTTGCTGGTCTTTTGGTATTTTTTGTCTTTTATGTTTTTCATTGATTGTCTTTTATGATCTTTGGGCAATTTCCTACCAAAGAATCCACGTGTGCAGGTGGGTCCTGGGAGGAGCGTGACCTGCGAGACGGAGGAGCTCCTGAAGAGCTGCGGCCTTCGCTGGGCCCAGTGACCATCCCATTCACCAATATTAACCAACCACTTGTGGGGTAAATTACGGGTAAATGCGAAATCACCCCAACTAGGACTGTACCAAATCAGAAACCTCTTTTGGGATGGGTTATTATTGGGTTTACCACATGACACGAAACCCATTTGTTTGAATTTGTTACTACCCAAATGCATCAAAATGTTTGCTTGCCCGATTGGCTTTCCTAGAAACGTCAAGCCAATTCTGGGGATACGACCGCATAACTCGGATACCAATGGATCACAAACTTGAAGTAATTATGGTTCTTTAATGTTCTTTCTGTGTCTCATGATGTCTCATGTTTTCCAACTTGCACGGCCTCTTATTCGTCTGTTTTTGGGAAGCGAAAATGTAAATATATGTATGTATATATATATATTTATCTATATATATGGGTGTGTGTGTGTACATACAGGTATCTATTTGTTGGCAGGGTCTCAATGAAGTGAGTCTTGTAGTTCCATGGGTTTGAGACATTTAGATGATATCATTGCCATGATCTAATATCTTCGTTTCCCGTTTGCATCTTGGTGTGTGCAATTTGTGCCCAGTGGTGCGATAGATTTATTTCACCCCCTTGATGCAAGATCGTCATACGATGGCATGGGATCGGATTCCAGGATGGGGTTAATGGAATGGTAGGACAGGATAGGTTGAAACATGTTGAAACCCTAAATTGTGATACTTCAGCAGGTACCCTGTGGCCTTCGACGATGTCTTCTACACCATTGGAAGGGGCTTCGATTTCACAGCACGCCTGGCATCCTAGTGGGCTTTGTGGTAGACCGAGTGATCAAAGTTTCTGTGGATTTTGTTTTGAGACATGATCTTCGTTGCTCTTCATGCTCTTCTATTTGTTTATCACCATGTTGGATCTCTTTCTGCTCTACCTCGCACATGTTTAATTAAGACTCAAAATGATCAAAATTAAAACCACCCCAACTGTCAGATGATGCGACATTGAAGATCCTTTGGGTGCTATATCACGCTTGCCCCCTGCATGTTCCCCGCGACCGATGTTTTCCGAGGCCGTGAGATCGTAAATGAGTTGATCAAGGAGCTTTTGGAGGCGTGACCTTTGAGAAAAAGATGCGATGCCTGGGATGATGATCCCCGGGGTGACACGCAGATGTCTGGAACATGTTGAAACCAGAGAAAAATTGATAAAATGCTCACTTGATTTCACTTGGGGATGATATAGATCGTAGATAATATACTAGCCATAGATGCAGGATGTGGATTTTCTGCCATAGAAAATGATGAAGTTTGACAGTTTGCCGCACTACGGCTCAATCCGAAGGATTCAAGCCGTAGTGAGTGCCCCAGCCATCGTCATAACTACTGGTAGTAACTGTTTATCTATTTAGCATCTATTCAGCTACATGGCAAATGCATCTCTGGGAGATGTTCTTTGGTGATCCACTGACTTCAATCTAGGTTCAAGGCTCATTTCGAATCCACTTGAGCATCATGTTTGCAATGCCCTGCATAGATCACTACAAAAGGATTGCAAATCTCTCGCCCCCGGATCCTTGACGTAGCCATCATCCAGTCCCAGACCCAGTGGATGTGAGAAAGGGCTTAGGCCGCGTGTCTTCTAGTTGGGTTCCTCACTAAAGGCCTCAGTAGCCTTCAGCGATCATCCTTTGCCTATGACTTTTTCCGATCATTTCCGATCCTAAGGACCTTGGCCACCATGGCTGACAATGTCTTGGGGCCCAGAAACCCTGGGAGGACGACTACCTTCTGGTAAACAAAGACGCAAATGGAAAAAGCCATGTAACATGTTGCGTTTGTTTACCCAAAGAGTCATCCAAATTCCAGAGCCACATCAGATCCATCCATCCCTTGTAGCGCACCTTTAGGCTTGGTTGTCCCAGATCTTCCAGAGCTATCAGGACCGCGCTTGCAGCGACAAGTTATATAATGGCTTTCGGGGTTTCTCCGCTGTGCATTTGCTGGAAAATACTGTACATGAATCATGCTGCATGAAATGTATATGTACAATTATGTACATGCATGTCTATATATATATATACAGGGTTCCCGTGGTTCGCATCGATTCGCATCGGTTCGAAAACAACTTTATGAACCGCGAAGCGGTTCGTTCCGGTTCGGTTCCGTTGCGGTTCGTGTCGAGACCGGTTCATGGATTCATTCGGTTCCATTCGGTTCGGTTCTTGTCTGGAATTGACTGCGTTATTGCTTTTAATAAAGGAAGTGTATGCGGTAATGTGTATAGCAGCATTCAAACTATATCCGTTGGTGTTCGTAACTTTCTGAAAGCAATGGCATTCAAAATTGCTGAGACGGAAAAGTACGGAAAATTAGTATTGCCGAACAGCTTTGGCTTCGAAAATCTCTGTTGCAATGAAAAGATTGAGCAAATACTGTAATTCCCTTTGCCCATGTAGTCCACTCAACAGTACGATCCCGCAACCCCCCTGGAGACACTTTTGGGCGCAAACATTGCTTTCTGGGGGTTGCGGGAAATGAGTGCAGCCGAACAGCTTTGGCTTCAAATTTTCTGTTGCAATGGAAAGATTGAGCAAATACTGAATCCCCAATGCCCATGTAGTATACTCAACCGTACGATCCTGCAACCTCCCTAGAGACACTCTTGGGGGCACACATTGCTTTCCGGGGGTTGCGGGAAATGAGTATAGCTGAACAACTTTGGCCTCGAAATTCTCTATTGTAGTGGAAAGATTGAGCAAATATTGTTATTCTCTTTACCTATGTAGTGTATACTCAACAGTAGGATCCCGCAACCCCCCTAGAGACACTTTTGGGCGCAAACATTGCTTTCCGACCTTTCCGGGGGTTGCGGGAAATGAGTGCAGCCGAACAGCTTTGGCCTCAAATTTTCTGTTGTAATGGAAAGATTGAGCAAATACTGCAATCCCCAATACCCATGTAGTATACTCAACAGCACGATCCCGCAACCCCCCTAGAGACACTTTTGGGCGCAAACATTGCTTTCCGGGGGTTGCGGGAAATGAGTACAGCTGACCAGCCTTGGCCTCGAAATTCTCTGTTGCAATGGAAAGATTGAGCAAATACTGAATTCTCTTTACCTATGCAGTATACTCAACAGTACGATCCCGCAACCCCCTAGAGACACTTTTGGGGGCAAACATTGCTTTCCGGGGGTTGCGGAAAATGAGTACAGCCGAATAGCTTTGGCCTCGAAATTCTCTGTTGTAATGGAAATATTGAGAAAACTGTAATCCCCAATGCCCATGTAGTATACTCAACAGTACGATCCCGCAACCCCCCTAGAGACACTTTTGGGCGCGAACATTGCTTTCCGGGGGTTGCGGGAAATGAGTACAGCTGACCAGCCTTGGCCTCCAAATTCTCTGTTGCAATGGAAAGATTGAGCAAATACTGTAATCCCCAATACCCATGTAGTATACTCAACCGTACGATCCTGCAACCCCCCTAGAGACACTCTTGGGGGCAAACATTGCTTTCCGGGGGTTGCGGGAAATGAGTACAGCTGACTAGCCTTGGCCTCGAAATTCTCTGTTGCAATGGAAAGATTGAGCAAATACTGAATCCCCAATGACCATGTAGTATACTCAACAGTCCGATCCCGCAACCCCCCTAGAGACACTTTTGGGGGCAAAAACATTGCTTTCCGGGGGTTGCGGAAAATGAATACAGCCGAACAACTTTGGCCTCGAAATTCTCTGTTGTAATGGAAAAAGATTGAGCAAATACTGAATTCTCTTTACCTATGTAGTATACTCAACAGTACGATCCCGCAACCCCCCTAGAGACACTTTTGGGCGCAAACATTGCTTTCCGGGGGTTGCGGGAAATAAGTACAGCTGGCCAGCCTTGGCCTCGAAATTCTCTGTTGTAATGGAAAGATTGAGCAAATACTGTAATCCCCAATACCCATGTAGTAGACTGAACAGTACGATCCCGTAACCCCCCTAGAGACACTTTTGGGGTGAAACATTGCTTTCCGGGGGTTACGGACAATGAGTACAGCCGAACAGCTTTGGCCTCGAAATTCTCTGATGTTCCTATGTTCTCTTGGGTCACCCCTCCCTCCCCTCCCTTTACCACCGTCGGACCTAAACTGGGACGTGTTGTTATGTCCGCTTTTTTTTCTTGTTACATCACTTTACTAATTCAGAGTCTCATCATCAAGATGGGGCTATCATATTACCATTCTTAGGCAACAGCTTCCGAGTCCAAAACATAGGATTATGAAGTTCTATTTGTGAAACCAAGCCAATGAAATGAGCTCAATCTTTTGCTCAATCTTTCCATTGCAACAGAGAATTTCGAGGCCAAGGCTGGTCAGCTGTACTCATTTCCCGCAACCCCCGGAAAGCAATGTTTGCCCCCAAAAGTGTCTCTAGGGGGGTTGCGGGATCGTACGGTTGAGTATACTACATGGGTATTGGGGATTCAGTATTTGCTCAATCTTTCCATTGCAACAGAGAATTTCGAGGCCAAGGCTAGTCAGCTGTACTTATTTCCCGCAACCCCCGGAAAGCAATGTTTGCGCCCAAAAGTGTCTCTAGGGGGGTTGCGGGATCGTACGGTTGAGTATACTACATGGTCATTGGGGATTCAGTATTTGCTCAATCTTTCCATTACAACAGAGAATTTCGAGGCCAAGGCTAGTCAGCTGTACTCATTTCCCGCAACCCCCGGAAAGCAATGTTTGCCCCCAAGAGTGTCTCTAGGGGGGTTGCAGGATCGTACGGTTGAGTATACTACATGGGTATTGGGGATTCAATATTTGCTCAATCTTTCCATTACAACAGAGAATTTCGAGGCCAAAGCTGTTCGGCTGTACTCATTTCCCCCCCGGAAAGCAATGTTTGCCCCCAAATCTGTCTCTAGGGGGGTTGCGGGATCGTACTGTTGAGTATACTACATGGGCATTGGGGATTACAGTATTTGCTCAATATTTCCATTACAACAGAGTTCGAGGCCAAAGCTGTTCGGCTGTACTCATTTTCCGCAACCCCCGGAAAACAATGTTTGCTCCCAAAAGTGTCTCTAGGGGGGTTGCGGGATCGTACGGTTGAGTATACTACATGGGTATTGGGGATTACAGTATTTGCTCAATCTTTCCATTACAACAGAGTTCGAGGCCAAAGCTGTTCGGCTTTACTCATTTTCCGCAACCACCGGAAAGCAATGTTTGCGCCCAAATCTGTCTCTAGGGGGGTTGCGGGATCGTACTGTTGAGTATACTACATGGGTATTGGGGATTACAGTATTTGCTCAATCTTTCCATTACAACAGAGAATTTCGAGGCCAAAGCTGTTCGGCTGTACTCATTTTCCACAACCCCCGGAAAGCAATGTTTGCCCCCAAAAGTGTCTCTAGGGGGGTTGCGGGATCGTACTGTTGAGTATACTACATGGGTATTGGGGATTCAGTATTTGCTCAATCTTTCCATTGCAACAGAAAATTTGAGGCCAAGGCTGGTCAGCTGTACTCATTTCCCGCAAACCCCGGAAAGCAATGTTTGCGCCCAAAAGTGTCTCTAGGGGGGTTGCGGGATCGTGCTGTTGAGTAAACTACATGGGTATTGGGGATTACAGTATTTGCTCAATCTTTCCATTACAACAGAGAATTTCGAGGCCAAAGCTGTTCGGCTGTACTCATTTTCCGCAACCCCCGGAAAGCAATGTTTGCCCCCAAAAGTGTCTCTAGGGAGGTTGCGGGATCGTACTGTTGAGTATGCTACATGGGCATTGGGGATTACAGTCTTTGCTCAATCTTTCCATTACAACAGAAAATTTGAGGCCAAAGCTGTTCGGCTGTACTCATTTTCCGCAACCCCCGGAAAGCAATGTTTGCTCCCAAAAGTGTCTCTAGGGGGGTTGCGGGATCGTACTGTTGAGTATACTACATAGGTAAAGAGAATTCAGTATTTGCTCAATCTTTTTCCATTACAACAGAGAATTTCGAGGCCAAAGTTGTTCGGCTGTATTCATTTTCCGCAACCCCCGGAAAGCAATGTTTTTGCCCCCAAAAGTGTCTCTAGGGGGGTTGCAGGATCGTACTGTTGAGTATACTACATGGGTATTGGGGATTACAGTATTTGCTCAATCTTTCCATTGCAACAGAGAATTTCGAGGCCAAAGCTGTTCGGCTGTACTCATTTCCTGCAACCTCTGGAAAGCAACGTTTGCGCCCAAAAGTGTCTCTAGGGGGGTTGCGGGATCGTACCGTTGAGTATACTACATGGGTATTGGGGATTACAGTATTTGCTCAATCTTTCCATTGAAATAGAGAGATTTCGAGGCCAAAGCTGTTCGGCAGTGCTGTTATCCGTAACCCCGAGAAAGAAGGAAAGGAAGGAATAAGAAAATGTATAGATATATAATTATTCTCACACAATTTTACATATCAAATTCAAATATAACTATGATTTTCGGTTCGGTTCCCACAAAATTTCGGTTCGGTTCCTGCGGTTCGTTTTCATTTACCGGTTCCATGACCCCGCGGTTCGTTCCGGTTCGTGTTTGTCGATTCGTGTCGGTTCGTGGGCACACTGTATATATATTTAAGTATATGTATATGAGCGTATTATATCATAATACGTGGAGATCATTTGTTATGTTTACGTGCAGAAACGATTTGCATATACAAATTGTTTTTTTTTGTGATTGAACTCAACACAAAGTGGACATATGTGCTTACTTCCTTGGATGTTTTTGGCACATGCACTGTTTAAGTAAGATACGTGTGATTGACATTGATGGACCCAATTGTGCTCGTGGGTGCACCTTGGACTCGAATGGACCCTTTCCGATGTGCCGACCAGGAGAGTGGGAAAGTGAAGGCATCCCACTTGGGTGATGCCATGCGAAGCGCTGGCATGAACCCCACCAATGCCGAGGTGCAATTTGGATCGACTTTGGCCTCCAAAAGGCTAAAAAATGGAAAATCGTGGTGCTTCATTTCCGTCCTCCATTTTCAATCCACTTCCTGCCAACCTTTGAAACTCTATCCGACTTGCTTCTTGCACAGCATGTTTTATTGACTCATCTTTGGTGCACTCCTTTCGAAGTCTCCGGACCACTGGCCTAGGCCATCCCAGGCTAATTTTTCAGATGAAGGTTCCAGAACTGCGTTGCAGGTTTCGCAAGTTGCTCAGCGAGCAGGGTCCAACTCTGAAGTGACTCTGGAGAGTTTCTGTCAATTGATGCAGGTGGGACTATGTGGGACTGCTTTTCTCTTGCGATGTTGCATTTTAAAGAGAGGGCGGAGCTTGGGAGAGTATATACCAGACTCAGCATGGGTCAGCCACAGAATGATTGCAAACAAGGTCTGCGTCTTTCCATAACTCTATTCTTTGGAAAATGCTCCTACGGCACCCTTGCTCATTGAATCAAGAAGCATTGAAATTATCCCAGTAGTCGTTGGCTTCCCTAGTGGTCATGGCAGTGAACACTCTCCTTTGTCGGCTTCCTCCAAACTTGTGCAGGCCTGTAAGCAAACTATAGTTTCCTTCAGCAAAACGAAGCTGGGGTTCTGCATCGGATTAGTTGCCAAGTCCGTCTCACATATTTTGCGTAAGGTTTCTGATGTCACAACACAGAGGGATCCTGAAAAAGTAAAGGATGTGATAGTCGGCTTGCGGCATGTGATCAGCAATGAAGGGCATAATATGGGACAAAGTGTGACAAGAGTGTGACAATGGGCAGTGTGGTTTTCTCCATTAATTTTGCTTTTCATCGGTGTTTCCCCACATCTTGTCTGCATTGGGCCAACAAGTACCCCAACTTGACTCAGCCTCGTGAAATGAACTCTCATATTTAATACATATATATATATATTCTGAGTAGGAAACATTTTTATAGATAGGTGTAAGTATATTTTTTAATTTCTATATATGCATACATGTGTTTATAGTCACATGGGTTGCAACTACACTCCTGGCTATGAGATGTCACCAGAAAGGCTTTCAACTGTTGTAAACACTGGTGGCCACCAAATCAACTGATTGGTGATGTTGTAGTGATTTGGGGGTTGCTGAGGTGTCTTGGGCTCGCTCGTCCCCAAAATCATAGGCAAAATTCCTACCAAAGAGCCTCCAGAAGTTTCCACAACGTGAAATTGGAACTTCTGAATGCAACTTGGATAGGCGTCCAAAGATATCCGAAGTACATATGTATAACGTTTATGAACCTATTTACCTATCGGTCGATCGATTGATCTGTATATAATAGTGTATATATATATATATATATCAATACATATATGTGTTTTATCTGCATATGATGCTCTACATCTATATGTATACATATATTTTGTTATGTTTTATCTATCTATATATATATAAATATCATATTCTAAATCTAAATCTATATCTATATTTTTTACATTTATATATATCATATATATCTCTCTCTCATCGATCTATATCTATATCTAATATCTATATCTATATCGAATATCTATACCTGTATCTATATCGAATATCTATACCTGTATCTATATCTATATCTTTATATGTATATCTTTATATGTATATCTTTTTGTGTGCACATATAAAGATAATGTTTTATATCTAAAAACATGTATATACATATGTATCTTTCATGGTGTGTTCCAATTCCAAGCACCCAGTCCTGCCTCAAGCTGGTGTTTGCAAGGAGGCTTTGGCCGAATGGTCCTCAAGGGATCAGGAGCTTCCGCTGTGGCTGGTGGTTTCAAATCTTTAGTTCCATCGCCTGAACTGATGATGATGACGATGATAAAAATGCGGTTAGTATTTTTATGCAGTTAATGATGGTTGATGATGGTTGATGATGGTTGATGATGATGATGGTGGTGATGATGATGATGATCATGATGATGATGATGGTGATAATGACGATGAAACCTACTAAATGTTCCATCGCATGAAGATCCTGACTGACGGAGAAATATTTTTCTGGGGCTTGGCACAAGCAGGCAGAGCATGCTCCGGGAGCCTCCGGTTTTGAGTGTTGAATGGTTGTTGATGCTCAGCACACCTTCGGGGAACCCGGAGGGAAGTGAAAGACCCCAGACATGTTGAATCACTGTGTGACATTTTTAGAGTAAACAAACTGCAAAACAAATAACACCTCTGGAAATTATCGCTGCAAAATCCACCATGTTACATCAATTCCACTATTTTTTTTGAATGGATATTTTCCATGTTTTATCCATATTTTTATCCATTATATATATGTAAATAAAGATAATTATATATATATAATTATATATATATATACATTTAAATGGGTCAGACATTGTCCACCAGGCTCAAGAGCTGCTAAGCAGCTTTCAAGTCTTCGATGCAGAGGGTACTGGTCCCTTGGTCTTCGATCTTGGGACGGGTTGAGGGCCTTGATATGCCCTTTCTTTGGTGATCATTGTGTATTTATCAGATATAAATAGATTTAATTATTTATATATATATATATATGTATGTACACAACATGGATGTATATATGCAAGCTGTGCAGCGTGAATGTGGTAAAGCCAATAGCAAACCAACGCCCAACCGGGGGTGACAATTTTTGGATTTACCCACTGTAATTATGTTGTATATGATATGGATTTGGCTTGGTATGTGTTATTGGCATTCGTTTTGGTAAAGCATGTCTGAAGATCCCCAAGCCTCAACACAAGCCTTTGGGAAAATGCCTCTGTTCCACTTGGGCGCCATTTTTTTGCTTGAAAAATATGCTGGCTGGCTCCCTGAAACGCACTTATTTGACACCAAAAGGTCGGAGAAAAATTGAGGTTTTCTTTCGCAGCAGAAGATCCTGGAGATCATGCGCATGGGAGGCCAGCTGGTGCCATTGGCATTGGCGCCATGTTCGGTAGAAACGCTTCTCCCTTGTGCCTGACTCCACCCATTTTCCATTATATCTTGGGTGATGGGTGGCTCAGCTACCAAGCATTGAATTGTGATAACATGTTTTTTCATGTTTCACATTGACCTGGCCAGGCAACCCGTTCCCCGATACCAAGATGCAGGACAGTGGGGAAGCTGTAGTCATCCCGCGCATGCCATGTATACCCGCAACAGCCTATCTCTACAAATGTTTTCCGTCTCGGTGAAAAATGGGAAAAATTATGTTTAGCCCCCTGTTTTTTTGGTGGCAGGAGATGTTGAAGGGTGTTCCGCTGAATAGTTGCTTGGATGGCATGGGGTCTCGCATCTCTTGGGATATGGCAGCGGGTTCAGGCACTCCGAAATAGGTTCGTAAACACAGAAACCGAAGGGAACCCAACAGAATTGAAAGGGAAAGGTCAGATGAGATGAAATGAGATGTACCCTAGCTCATCCCCTTAACTGCAGGGGTGGGGTAGTGGCCCGCCTGTCCGCCTAGTGTTGCACCCGGGTATTGAACCCGGGCCTGACGCATGAGGGATGCGTCTTATCCACTAGACCATACCGGCCCTCTGAGATGTTTTCATTTGGTGATGAGTTCATTTTTTAGTATAATTTGATCTACTGACTGAGTGGTTGTTTGAGTCATAAAGTTAATACAAGTTAATTCTTGTTTGTTTGGTTGACTAGTTGCTTGCTTTATTGTTTGATACATCCACATTGGCAGATAGACTAGTAGACCGTGGTATTGGATTGGACGATTGATCCCTAATCCTAATGGCAACATTGTCGCCTATGGTTGCAATTAACACAGCCGCGCGGGTGCACGTTTTCACCATTCCTTCACCAGTTGATTCCCAGACCCCTGGTGGCTGATGGATACGTTCAATTGACTCAATTGTATTTTTCATCTGGGACTCTAATGCCGTTTAAGATGTTTCAAGATGTGATTTGGTGAATCCAAGATAAACCTGTGATTGGGACCAAAAAACAACCAGTAGATTTAGAGGATGTTTGACAGTTTCGGTCCTCGGTGACCTAGAAAACTGCACTGTTCACACCAAGGTGAAGGTTCAGTGGAGTACCGCTGGCTGATTCCGTATCTCTTGGGCCCATCGCTGGGTCCAGTGTCTCGGCTTGGTGGACTGTGAAAGCGAGCTCGGTGCTGCCATATGATCCCAAATGTATCGACCTATGATGACATTCATATATTGATATGATATGTATTGATTTGTATGCATACACATCGTATTATTTAAATAGAAAAATTTCTTAAAAAGCAAGGCCCACGAACCCGAATGCAGTCACGTGAAACACTTTGTGAAACAAGATTTGAAAAGTTGTGTGCTTTTTCCCCTGTTACCGCACCAGTGCGCTGTAGACTGTGGAATGTGGAATGGGGTGGAATGCAAAGTCTGGAGTGTGAAGAAAGTGGGGTGTTGAGTGGGGAATGTAATGTGTGTAGAGTGTGGAGTAGGGATTGTGAAGTGGAAAGTGTAGAGTGTAAAGTGTGAAGTGTTAAGTGTGGAGTGTGGAGTGTAAAGTGTAGAGTGTAAATTGCGGTGTGGAGAGTGGTGGAATGTAAAGTGTGGAGAGTGGTGGAATGTAAAGTGTGGAGTGTGGAGTGTGGAGAGTAAAGTGTACAGTGTAAAGTTTAAAGTGTGGAGTGTAAAGTCTGGAGTGTCAAGTGTACAGTGTGGAGTGTGGAGTGTAAAGTGTGGAGTTTGGATTGTGGAGTGTAAAGAGTAGAGTGTAAAGTGTAAAGTGTGGAGTGTAGAGAGTAGAGTGTGGAGTTTGGAGTGCGGAGTGTGGAGAGTAACCTGTAAAGTGTAGAGTGCAGAGTGTAGAGTGTAAAGTGTAGAGTCTAAAGTGCAGAGTGTGGAGTGTCAAGTGTAAAGTGTGGAGTGTAAAATGTAAAGTGTAGAGAGTGGAGTGTAAAGTGTGGAGTGCGGAGTGTTAAAGTGCAGAGTGCAAAGTGTAAAGCGTGGAGTGTAGAGAGTAGAATGTGGAGTTTGGAGTGTGGAGTGTAACGTCTAATGTGTAAAGTGTAGAGTGCACAGTGTAGAGTGTAAAGTGTAGAGTGTAAAGTGTGGAATGTACAGTGTAAAGTGTGGAGTATAAAGGGTAGAATGTGGAGTGTGGAGTGTGGAGAGTAGAGTGGAAAGTGAAAGTGTGGAGTCTAAAGTGTAGAGTGCGGAGTGTAAAGTGTAAAAGTGCAGGGTAGGGTGTAAAGTTTGGAGTGTAATGTGCGGAATGTAAAGTGTACAGTGCAAAGTGGGGGGTGTGGAGTTTGAAGTTTTGCGTGTGGAGTGTACAGTGTAGAGTGTCGACTGGTAAGTGAAAAGTGTGGAGCGAAAAATATTTTAATGTCAAATGTCGAGTGGAGAGTGTAAAATATTGAGTGTAAAGTGTGGAGTGTGGAGTGTGGAGGGTAAAGGGTAGTGAAGAGTGCGGAGTGTACAGTGTAAAGTGTGGAGTTTGGAGCGTAAAGTCTAAAGTGCGGAGGGTAAAGTGTGGAGTGTGGGGTGTGGAGTCTAAAGTCCGGAGTCTAAAGTCCAGAGTGTAAAGTGTAGAGCATAGAGCGTCCAAAATACTGCGCGTGCCACGCGAAATAGCATTCCACACACGACGGATCTTCACCAAATGCTGCGCCTACCACGCAAAATGACGATGGAGGTCTCCAAAGCGCTTTGCCCGCGACAAATAAGCCCAAAGAGTATCCCCAACAGCGAGAAACAAAAACAGTTGCCAAACACGCAATGAATGAAGTATGTTTATTGCCCCGCCCTTTTTACTCTAGAGGTCGGGCGTGCAAGCTGCAATCACGGCACAAACACTGTATGAAAAAAACGTTTTTCCAAAAGCGTTTGCGATACTGTGGCCAACATGCCCGAAGCTCGTGCAAAGGGCTCTCTTCCCAAAGAACTGCTGTCCGCCTCACTCTTCACTTCATCTACCTAACATAGATCATCCACATTTTTTGTCCTTTACATCACCTACATCTTCTATACCATCTTCTAGACCATCTTCCCTATATTTACATCTACATCTACACCATCAGCACCATCATCATCATCATCACCTACATTTGTCTCACCTACATTATCTACACCACCTACACATTTGTCCATCAACCTCATCTATATGACATGTTTTATCTACAACACATACATTACCGGCATCATCATCACCTACATCACTACATCCTCTACATCACCCACATCACCTACATCTTCTGCACCATCGTCCCTGCATCATCATTATCATCATCATCACCACCACCACCATCATCATCATCTATCTCACCTACACCATCTACATCACCTACCCACTCCTTTTCCATCAGTTCATCTACATGACATGCATCATCTACAACGCATACATTCCCTACATCATCATCTATATCCTATATCGCTGCATCCCTACATCACCTACCTCTTCAAACCTATCTAACCTTACATCACTTACAAGACTTACAACATCATCGTCATCATCTACAATATACATAGACAACGACACCTACATCAGCTACAGGTGATCAACTTCTAGGGAACTCCTACAAAACTTGAAAAATGTTGTTTACACAGGAGTTGACTTGCAGGTGATCCACTTCTACTTGAACTCCTACAAGAGTCCTGCCTGCAAGGTCATTTGCACAGAAATTGTTGCACAGGAGTTGCTACACAGGAGTTCAGCTAACTTCCAGTGATCAAATTGTATGTGAACTCCTGCAAAATCAGACTTCTCCAGTTCTTCTATTTCTCTCTGGCGGCAGCGACAGCCAGGCGGTGGCTTACGAAACGTTACCCTCTGCGGCGTGTCGGATACCCAAACGTGTGGTGAAATGCGGGTCTTGTTTGTCCTTGGGCCCGCAGCAACCGTCTGCGGAGACAGAGATCGCGCAGGTCGGACATCCAAACACGTGGCAAAATGCAAATTTGGCAGGGCCCGGCGCAGCCCCTTCGCACGAAATGAGGGTCAACCATCAAAAACTGGTGTATTTTGAAAGTTCAGATGCAAGCGTGGCATGAAAGCTAAACGGCAATAACTGTGGGAAAACTGAGTTTTTTTAACGTCAGATGCAAACGTTCAAGAATTGGTGTAAAATTGCGACTTTATCCATTTTGGATCGTCAGGCACAACTGTTTCACGCGAAATAAAACTGGTGTAAAAATGCGATTTTACAAGGTCAGGCGCAACCCATTTCACGCAAAATGATTGTCCAACGTCAAGAATTGCGATTTTCCAACGCCGGATGCAACCCCTTCGCACGATATGATGGCCAAACGTCAAAAACGTAAAATTGCGACTTTTTGAAGTGTGTAAAAGCTGCTCTGTGGAATCGGTTTTTCTGTGGGAAAGCGTCTGTGTGTAAAGGTTTCTCTGTGTAAAAGCTTCTGTGCGTAAAAGCCCTGTGTGTACAAGCCTTCTGTTTGTAAAGACGTCTGTGTGTAAAAGCTCGTGCTCAAAAGCTTCTCTGTGTAAAAGCTTCTGTGGAAAAGTTTGTGTGTGTAAAAGCTTCTGTGTGTAAAAGATTCTCTGTGTAAAGGCTTCTCTGTGTCAAAGCTTCTGTGATTCTCTGAAAAACCATCTGTGTCTAAAAGCTTCTGTGTGCATAGGCGTGTATATGTCAAAGCCTCTCTGGGTAAATGCTTCTGTGTGGAAAGGCATCTGTGTTCAAAAGCTTCTATGTGTAGAAGCATCTGCCGCATCTGTGTGAAGAACTTTTGTGTAAATGCCTCTATGTGTAAAGACCTGTCTGTGTAAAAGCTTGGGCATTTGCGTGTTTAAAGTTTCTGTGTGTATAAGATTGTATAAGCTGCTCTGTGCAAAGGCCTCTCTCTGTGTAAAAGCTGCTCTGTGTAAACCCTGCTCTGTGAACAAGCTTCTATGCGTAAAAGCGTCTGTGTGTAAAAGCTCTGTGTGTACAGGCGTGTGTGTGTGTAAAGCTTTTGTGTGTGTGTAAAGCTTTTGTGTGTAAATGCTTCTGTGTTTGATAGATGCTCTGTGTAGAGGTTTCTCTGTGTAAAGCTTGTGTGTAAAAACTTCTGTGCGTAAAAGCCTGGGGGCGTTTGTGTGCAAAAGCTGCTCTGTGCATCTCTGTGTAAAAGCGTCTGTGTGTAAAAGCTGCTCTGTGTAAAGGCCTCTCTGCGTCAAACCTTCGGTCTGTAAGCTCTGTGAACAAGCTTCTATGCGTAAAAGCGTCTGTGTGTAAAAGCTCTGTGTGTATGTAAAGCTTTTGTGCGTGTAAATGCTTCTGTGTATAAAAGATGCTCTGTTTAGACGCTTCTCTGTGTCAAAGCTTCTCTGTGTAAAGCTTCCGTGTGAAAACCTCTGTGCGTAAAAGCCCTCTCTGTGTAAAGGCCTCTCTGCGTCAAAGCTTCAGTGTGTAAAAGCTGCTCCGCATAAACGCTGCTCTGTGAAAACAAACCTAAGTGTAAAAGCTGGTCCGCGCAATGTCTGGGGGGGGGAGCCCGGGCAGTGTGCCGAGTAGGGGATGGGGCATCCGTCATCCGGCTTCTGGAGACTGCTGAAACACAATAACTGCTTCATGTTACTGTGTGAGGAAAAAAAAAAAAAAGTGGGGGTCCGCGATTGGCGCCGAGGCAGAGCTGCCATTCAGCGCAGCACGGCTGTGGCGGCCGGGATCGAACTGCCGCTCACTCGCATTGCGCCAGCATGTGGAACGTAAGAAGGAGTCCCTAGGTAGGGGAGGGGATGGGGGGAGGGCACTAAAAACCGTTTGTGCTCAAAGTTCCTTCCCACAAACGCTTGTCTGTGAAAAAGCTTCTCTGTGCAAAATCTTCTCTGTGTAAAAGCTTCTGTGTGTAAAAGCTTCTGTGTGTAAAGGCATCTCTGTGCAAAAGCTTCTGTGTAAAAGCTTTCCTGTGAAAAGGCTGTAAAAGTTTCTGTGTCTAAAAGCTTCT